ATCATTTAATTACGGTTGCAAAAAGTCGAACCACAGTCATTTGGGGATCTTCCCCTTTGTCGCTATGTAGAACCACATGAAATCTGAACACGAGTTGTAAGAACAAGAAATCAAAAGTTTGCCCGGAGCCTTCAAGGTTGCAATACCCTCGCGCCTTTTGTTGCCCCTTAAACTGCAGCAACAATCAAATGGAGACTAATTCCAAGACGTAACAATGTGGCGAAAGCAGGGTTGAAGAGGATCCCAACATTTCATCTGCTCGGTTCATTCTCGGGCTGTGGAAAGGATGGCAGTTACACTTTTTTGAACCACAACCTTGTCCCTGCCAATCCGAATATGTTTCGACTGAGAAATTCCTCCATTTTCCAATTGGCACTTCCAATTAACCTCAAGCCTTTCAGGCCTTTCAGGTGGTAGAAACCAACTCAACTAGTCCTGACATTTGAAGGGTCGATTTTCCTACAACCCACGGGACATCTCAGATTTTTAACACTTTTTCCACGGGAATAGCCAGTTTCAGTCCATGTTCCCTCCCAGAGGTGTGAATCAGCATGCCAGCATATGTGGTGGACTGCCTGCTGCGCCCGAACAGAAGGCCCATGACAGAGGAAGGATGCGTAAGGTGAAATCGAATTGGTTGGAACATGTTGTAGCCATCATAATGAAATTATCCCAAATCAAGGGCAAAACACCAAATCGAAGGCTTTTACCCTCTGGAAAATATTTGCATAACTATGGAACATCATCATGCCATTAATGGGTAAATCCACTATTTCTATGGCCATTTTCAAGTTCGCTAACTGTAAGCGTTTACCAGGCCGGGTAACCCTTGGTCATCCGACTTGGCTCACGGAAGTGGGAAAACCTCCAACCATGCGAGGAGAACCAATCGGCCGAGCAGTTTCAAGAGCTCTGTGACTCGCATTGTCGTGAGATTCACGATCCAGTCACTTGGACGAAATGGCAAGGGAGCAAGCAACATTGATTTGTGTCAATAAGGGGGATGGATATATATATATATATATATCTAATTATATATGTACATATATAGTATGTATGACGATTATATGATTATTATGTATATATAACGATTATATATATAATCATATATAAATAAATTACTTTACTTCGAGTGATCTCCACCATGATATTTATCGATTTGTTACTGGCAAATCTTCTGGCATTCTATCTGACACATCTTCTGGCATTCGATCCGGCATTCTATCTGGCATATCTTCTGGCATATATTCTGGTATATCTTCTGGCATGTCTTCTGGCATTCTATCTGGCATATCTTCTGGCAGATGTTCTGGCATATCTTGTGGCAGTCTATCTGATATTTTATCTGGCATTCTATTTGGCATACCTTCTCGCATTCTATCTGGCATATCTTCTGGCATTCTATCTGGTATATCTTCTGGCATTCTATCTGGCATATCTTCTGGCATTCTATTTGGCATATCTCATGGAATTTTATCTGGCATATCTTCTGGCATATCTTCTGGCATTCCATCTGACATTCTATCTGGCATATCTTCTGGCATTCTATCTGCCCGTTGAGATCCAGCAGTGCACACTGAGCTGGGGAGGTCCCCGGTTGAGGTCCAGCGGTGCACACTGCGCTGGGCAAATCCCAGGTTGAGGTCCAGCGGTGCACACTGGGCTGGGCAGGTCCCAGGTTGAGGTCCAGCGGTGCACACTGAGCTGAGACGGTCCCTGGTGCAGGTCCAGCGGTGCACACTGAGCTTGAGGTCCAGCGGTGCACACTGAGCTGGGCAGGTCCCAGGTTGAGGTCCCAGTGCACACTGAGCTGGGAAGTTGGCAAAGAGCTTGGCGAAGAGAGTTGGCAAAGAGCTTGGCGAAGAGTTGGCAAGGCGGAAGTGGAGGTGGAAGTTGATGCAGACATAGTCGAGGAGAAACTAGAGGGGGAGGAGGAGGAGGACGAGGAGGAGGAGGAGGAGGAGGACAGCTAGCCGAGGAGGAGGAGGAGAACAGATCTGATAAAATCTAACAACCCTCACCTGGCAGGTGGGGAATAAACAACTAAACAAATGCATAAATATATGAATAAATAAATAGATAGACAAATTGATAAATAGATACATAAATAAATATGAATATACGTATATACTTCTGAAAACTATAAATCTATACATATCGGGGACTTAATGGGATCTGTCGGAAAATGGCAATCTGCCACCGAAATGGCAATTTTAAAACAGCAAACATGTTGATCATCCACCTGTTTTTGGGTTACCGTATTTTCAGACGCACCCGATTGTCAAAGCGGACACCATGCATGAAAACTGACAAGCCTTTGCGGGTCCATTGATATCCTCATTCTTTCCAGCCCATTCCATCAGCAAGCATGGGGCTTCAGACAAATATAGAAAGCAAAAACTGCAACCGCAATAAATCCAAATACCTCAAAATAGTAGGGAATCGCTGTTCTATCTTTTGGAACGGTTTTAAAGATCCGACAAGTCAGCAGCATACAGAGCACGGCATGTGAGGTGACGGGAAAAGAGTTCAGCGCTTGCCACTGTGAGACCACGAAGCATTGGAACAGCTCCGCCCTGTGCGAAATGGACAAGTTTGACTCTATGGCCTGCAGAGAATCCGTGGGCTACATTGCCAGGAAAGCAATGATAAAATATAATAAACCATAAGGTAATACATATTTTCATGGGTTATGCCCATTTATGGTTTAGGGATGGTGAATCCTATTGCTTCTTTACTAACATGTACCAGTAAATTAACAATATGGTTGAAGTTTTCTCGCTTGGGATGATGATTCCAATCGACTTCCGTGTCACATTTCAGTGGAATATGGGTCTGTCTGAAAATGATCACAAACCATAACCAGTTTAGTCGGGAAACTGGCATTTTAGACCGAGCTGGGACTTTGGGCTACCCCACCATGTACTGTACTAATACAATAGTAATAATAACAATAATAATATACATATACATATGTATATATATATACAGTGCACATGTTCAAAGGTGGTGCTGGCCCAAGTGGGAATGGTTTATGACATGGGGTTTTTGCTCAATATGTGATCTCCATTAGAATTGGGTATCAAGAAAAGAACGCGTATTATAATATCCCATTCTATCGCGGCATTGTGGATCCATCTCCACTTCTTTTCCTTACATAAGATTTTCCCATGATGATCACATGAATATTTCATACTTTGGCATCTATGACATTGGAAAAGTATGGAACATCTAAGCTCCATCATTTTTTACATACAGAAACATCCGTCATAACAATTTTAATATAGACCATATATATATATGTTTATAATGTATATATAATGCATATATATATATGTATGTTTATAATATATATATGTTTACAGCATTGATTATATCATTTTCCCATCATCCTTCACCTTAGCTGGACACCGGTCACTTTCTGTGATGAGGATTCGATGATGGCCATCTTGGACATTCAGGTGCCCAAGGCCAGGATGGTTAAAAATATCATAAACACCTTACTGGAATCATGGTTTATTTAGGGGAAATCATCCCCAGTTGTGGCCAAAAAAAAGATTCGGGTGAGTGAAATGTGATATATATATATATATATATGTATTTAACCCAGATAAAATGGAGATGTTTTTCAAGAAGTAACTCATTGATACTATGGCTAATGTATGGGTAAACTGTTTTACACCGAAAGCTGTTTCTATGAAATTTATTTAAACACTAAAAGACGAGTTTTTGATGGGAAGAGAGATCTGAGTAGGGGAACTAGTATGAAAGTGGAATTTCAACACCAATCAGGATGTAGCCGCAGGTGGATTCAAAATATTCAAACAACAACAGTGGTGATTTTACGCAAAATATTGCGGATCTCCATTTGCTATCAATATAAAATCATATAAAATCCAATCGTTTCGCTACCCGTGGGCGTGATGATGACTTGATACCTTGGCCGAGGATATCAAGTGGGGATCGCCAGGGTCGCCTGCCAGGGGATGCACTGCTGAAACACAGAAAAACTCGGGATTTGAAACCTTGATATTCTGGCTTAGCATTGCATAGCATGGAAAAACCTTCTGGTGGCACTAATGTTCGGGAGATTTTTCCGATTTCACCGGTGCAGGTGATCCAACGCAAGCTGAGTCATGTCATCGTGGTGGATGAATCCTTCGAGGTTTCTTGGCACTTTTTGACCAGAAATTATGGTATATGAATGTATATGATAGGTAATTATTGGGGACATCATGGGATATATTGTAGTAATTGTAGTATAAATAATGGGATAACAACTAGTTACTAATCCAATATTTCAAATAAATGGGGATGGGTCAAAATTTAAGCCCCAGAAGGGACCACAGATTGAAATGTATATGTTTAATATGAACCACCTAATTCTTGGCTTACCCAATTTTGACCTAGACCCACATTATTATTAGGGATATTTCATGGCATGTATTTGTATAACTAACCAACAATATGGGTGTGAAACTGGGTCCCATTCCATCCACTGATCATCATTTTCCCAATGGAACTGGCCACGTGTGACCGATCCTCTGGCAATCATAACTGGCAATGGACAAAAGATATTGACAAGAACATCTCAATATAGCAACATATGTAATATATATGTGTGTACATATATATATATATAGAGGTATAAATATGTACGTAGTATAATTATATGGTTATACAATGGTATACAGTGATTCTTATATATGTATATAAACATACGTGTATAACATACTATAATATAATGTATACATATCTACTGCATACTGCATACGGCGTCTTTTTGTAGTGGTACAAATGTAGATTTTTCCATTGCGCACGGTGCTGTAGATCTTCGGCTGAGGTCTTCTCCCGCATTTGGGTCATGGCTGAGATCGCCAAAGCGCAACTGGGCCGCCACCATGGCGCAGTGGATTTTTTCCGCCACTGAATTGAGCAGTAATTGCTTCGTTTGCAGTTCGTTTCCCTCCAAAGATAGATAGATAGATTAGATTAGATTAGATTAGATTATAAGATTAGATTAGATTGGATGAGTTTAGATTAGATTAGATATATATATAAATAAATATACATATATATAAGCACTCATAAATCCATGTGGAATATGGTGATTCTGTTCATCGGAATCCCGTGAATCGCAGGATAAAAATTAGGTCTGCAGGGATGGGATCACACTCCTGAGGACATTCCAAATCCTTCCAGCAATTGCCAGCAATCTGAAATCTGATAGACGTCACTCTCAGACCAGACATCTTCAAAAATTGTTTTGGGTCCCCATTTTTGTTCGATTTTTGAAAGGCGCCTCCGCAAGATGTTTCCGGTCCTGAGCTTGAGGCAAGAACTGGAGTTGAACCAGGCACAGCGTCAGCTTTGGAGAGAGCCAGAGGGCTTTTTGTGGCAAAAAGTCCACTGTTCACCAGCCAGAAAGATCAGAATTTCAGTGGATAAAAGATGATCGAGTCTGGTGGATCCTCATTTTTTCCTTACTTAAACTTGCCATCTTGGACATTTCCCCCATTTTTCGCCACCATTTTTGATGTTTCAATCCCATCAAAACCATCCTTTCTGGAGAACGTCCTCAGGTGGCGCTTCTGTATCCTCCACCAGATCGGCTGAAGATCGAGGTGAAGGACGTCAAGGCGAAACGGCGAAGCCAGGCCATGCTGCCAGCTGGAGCCTGGGAGGATGACTTAACCAAAACATGTTTTATTGATGGCTAATGATGGTTGATGATGGTATCAACAAAACATGGTTAATCAACAAAACATGGTTAAACACTGTTAAACATAGCTAATGATGTTGATAGCCAATGTCGAGACGATGGTTATGCATATATATATAATCTCGATTAACAGTTAAACATAGTAAAACATATATATATATATATCATCTGGGTTCATCATGGTAAATCATTGACAATCATTGGTATATGTTAATGGTTAGTCTTGATAAATAATGGTTGATAATGGTTGATGATGATTAGCAGACAGTAAACCTGGTGGTTTGGTCCCAATTTGGGGGAAACTTCCTAAAACTCCCATGAAAAATGAGGACCGAGGGGGGTTCAGTTGACTTTCATGTTTGAACCCCCAAACAGTCCCTTTTTCTCGGACTTGTATACAATACACACTCATCATGTAAGTACAATATCATCACGTATGCCCCAGACACATGAGCAAAACCTATGATAAATAAATATAATATATAATTTTATATATACATACACATTACAGAGGAGAGTTGTCTTCCTCTTCATTTTTCAGCATGCCGTTTGACAGCGAATCCTCAAGTGGATCTATATAATGGAGCATCGCAACAACCTCGTGCGCGTTTTTAGCATCAGGCTGCATAGATGGTCCCGACAATTTGGATGGATTTAGCGAGTTGCTGAATTTGTTTGGACATCAGCAATTTGTACCCTCTGATAAAGAAACATAGCTATTTAGAATGGCCATTTATAGTTGATTTACCCATTGAAAATGCTGATTTTCCATAGTTATGTTAGTTTACCAGAGGGTATTTCTTCTGCGTTCAATGTGAACATCATGATTTTTTTGTCTTCGCCGCTATGTCAATCCTTGTGCTCTTTGTATGCAAACGCTGATTTTGGATACCTTTTCGTGGTTGGTTGTTTCCATGACTGTCATACCACTACCCTGGTTTCTGATCCATCACAAGCAAGGCTTGTACATCGACAACATGTACATATTCCACAAAACTGATTGAAATTATTCCCATATAATACATGTATGTGTATATATATATACATACACACTCATACTACTGCCCAAAGTTACTCTTTTTCGTAGTGATGCTCCAATTTTCCTTCTACCTATTTTCCAGCGGCCATCTTCAGGTTCCCTCCAGCGCAGCTTTGGAAGTGGCGCGCGTACGTGACACCTTGGCGCCGTGGCGTCATGGATTCAAGGGGAGGAATACAGAAAAATAGGGGTTTTATGGGATTCAACCACAACAAATGATGATTGAAGCAGCACAAATTTGCGACTTCAGCAGTAATGATTGAAATTTAAGATATTTAAGCTGCAAACAAGGCAGCTTAGGGCCCGAAAATGACAATTTGATGCGATTTGCGATTTTAATCACCAATACTGCCAATACTGGGGCGGGAGAAGAATTTCTTTTCCCATGCTTGGGTGCTTCAAGCAGCAAACCATGGGCAAATGGCATGCCTATCGTTTTTCCTAAAGGTACCTCGGATGATGATTGGATACTAAACACCATCAGCTTGGCGTCTCCATCGGCAGCCTATTTTTGACCCAGACCAATTTGGAAGGGTTGTTGAATTTGATGGACCCTCAGACTGGAAACTCGATCGCGCAGTCAGTCTGAGCAATTCATACTGCAAGAGTTGAAATTCAGAAATCCCGTCCGCCTCCACGAGAGTAGGATCCATGAGGACCCACCAATAGTCACAACCCCAACCCGGCAGAAGCAGAAAACCACATTGGCGGACCCCAGCGGCAAAAGTTTGGTGGCAGGTTGATGATCCAGGTGTGGAGGTATAGACCCGTTTGATCCTTGTTTGCTAGTTTGATGCATATTATATCATATAATTATGTGATCCAATTTTGGAGGTATCCTCCTTGTTATGACATCATGTTTATACACATTTTGGTTAGGTTATTTCAATTTGTTCCTTCAATGTGCTTGGTCTTCTCCCCATTTTGCTGGCTTTCCTCGTTCGCCCCAAGTTTTCTCCGTTCTTTTCCCCAATTTTTCACAAAGAGTTCCAAAGGTGTTCCCATTTTTCCCCAGTTTTCCACATTTTTCCAGCACCACGTCTTCGTTGCATTTTTGCCGCACTTCCCGGTCATTTCTGGGTCGCAATTTCTTCACTTCGCGCAGCCCCCGCCTTAGGATATCCGCAACTGCAAGGCCAGCCGGCAGGAGGATGTTGAGGCGATCCTGGGGTCCATCCCGGTCCCTTGGCAGCTCCAGGAGTTTTTCGGGACCTGATGGGCCTGTCAAGAGGAACATAACCATTGGGGTAATGGCGATTTATGGCGATTAATGGTGGCTATTAATGGCTAATAGTGAATTCATATTGGATACCCTCTGCTCATTTAACATAGCGAACTTGAACATGGCCATAGAAATAGTTGATTTATGTTGATTTACCCACATAGTTCGCATGGTGATTTTCCAGTTCGTTATGTAAACGTTTACCAGAGGGTACAATCCCAAAACCCCCTATTACTAAACGGTCCACCCAAATAATAACCCCCTGGAGGAGCTTTTAGGGGGTATTTAGTATTAGGGTGCGAAGCTTCCCCCTAATCCTAAATAAAACACCTAATACAAAATACTATTTTTTTCTATTTCAATATCGATTAGATTTCCGTTTAAAATCTAATTAAAATATTGCCAAAAGTTGGATTTCGAAGCTGTTCCCTAATATTAAAGTAAAAACCTATATATATATATGATTATATATGATTATATATGTATATTCGACCTTAAAAGACGAACCCTAATAGAAAACATCCCGGGGTTGACTAGTTTTTATTATTAGGGGGTGAAACCCTGAAATGGGACCTTCATTTTTAATTTGTTTTTGAAAGGGGATCAATTAAAAATTAAATTGGTCAGTCTGAAATTTCCCCAAATTTAACGCGGACCCTCGTTTTGAGTATTTGGGGTACGTTTAGTAAAAGAGGGTGGGGATTGCTAACATTAATGCATATTAATGGTGGTATTTTGATAGGGTGATATGGGGAGCCGCTCGCCAGCTACTAAGTTTTTTTTTGATTTTTGTGTCTTGTTTCTTGAAGGCTAGCTAAAAGATTTATTTGTACCTACGTAGATTATGGTTTTCGGGGGGTGTGCCAACAAATTGCCAACAAATTGCCGTATCGCTTTATGATGATTTACAAACTGATGAATTGGTACTCCCTATCACTTCGGGATTTATTTGTTCGCTCAGGGTTTGCCAGGCCTGGACGGCCTGGATCAAAATGATGGTATCCCTGGGTGGTTTGAAGTCTCCTGTCCCACATCCGAATTTTGCACCATTTTGGTTGAAGATTTTGTAATGTTGGTTCCTGATTAGTGTGTGCCCCCCCCCCCTCCCCTAAACTATTTCTGGACTCTCTTTAAAGTAGAAAAGCAAAAAAAATCTTCCCAAAAGAAAAACATATCCTCGATTAAGTAAGGATTTCAATTGGCTACAATCGAAATCTAATTAAGATTGTTTTTTTTGCCAATGAAGTTGTGGTATTTGTAGTACTTGTAGACTTGGAGTACTTGCAGTACATGTAGTACTTGTAGTACTTGTAGTACTCGTAGTACTTGTAGTACTTGTAGTACTTGTAGTACATGTAGTACTTGTAGTACTTGTAGTACTTGTAGTACTTGTAGTACTTGTAGTACTTGTAGTACTTGTAGTACTTGTAGTACTTGTAGTACTTGTAATACTTGTAGTACTTGTAGTACTTGTAGTACTTGTAGTACTTGTAGTACTTGTAGTACTTGTAGTACTTGTGGTACTTGTAGTACTTGTAGTACATGTAGCTGTACTTGTAGTACTTGTAGTCCTTGTAGTCCTTGTAGTACTTGTAGTACTTGTAGTACTTGCATTACTTGTAGTACTTGTAGTACTTGTAGTACTTGTAGTACTTGTAGTACTTGTAGTACTTGTAGTACTTGTAGTACTTGTAGTACTTGTAGTACTTGTAGTGCTTGTAGTACTTGTAGTACTTGTAGTACTTGTAGTGCTTGTAGTACTTGTAAAATGGAGCCTCTCCTGGTCCAGGGCCTTGGAAAATTGTGGAACAGCTGTTCTTTAATAAGGGTTTAATAAGGGATTGGTTCTTTTGGGAAAGGCTTGGAGTTTGAATTTGGCAATTTTGGAAAAGGCTTGCTTCCCTTCTGGGCTTCCAGGGGCTGCTCTGGCACAGCTTGCTGCAATAGTGAACCCAGCAAACAAACCTACTAAAGTGAAATGGAGCCTCTCCTGGCCCAGGGCCTTGGAAAATTGTGGAAAAGCTGTTCTTTCATAAGGGTTTAATAAGGGATTGGTTCTTTTGGGAAAGGCTTGGAGTTTGAATTTGGCAATTTTGGCAAAGGCTTGCTTCCCTTCTGGGCTTCCAGGGGCTGCTCTGGCACAGCTTGCTGCAATAGTGAACCCAGCAAACAAACCGACTAAAGTGAAATGGAGCCTCTCCTGGTCCAGGGCCTTGGAAAATTGTGGAAAAGCTGTTCTTTAATAAGGGTTTAATAAGGGATTGGCTCCTTTGGGAAAGGCTTGGAGTTTGAATTTGGCAATTGCCTTTGGAAAAGGCTTGCTTCCCTTCTGGGCTTCCAGGGGCTGCTCTGGCACAGCTTGCTGCAATAGTGAGCCCAGCAAACAAACTTACTAAAGTGAAATGGAGCCTCTCCTGGTCCAGGGCCTTGGAAAATTGTGGAAAAGCTGTTCTTTAATAAGGGTTTAATAAGGGATTGGTTCTTTTGGGAAAGGCTTGGAGTTTGAATTTGGCAATTTTGGAAAAGGCTTGCTTCCCTTCTGGGCTTTCAGGGGCTGCTCTGGCACAGCTTGCTGCAATAGTGAACCCAGCAAACAAACCTACTAAAGTGAAATGGAGCCTCTTCTGGTCCAGGGCCTTGGAAAATTGTGGAAAAGCTGTTCTTTAATAAGGGTTTAATAAGGGATTGGCTCCTTTGGGAAAGGCTTGGGGTTTGAATTTGGCAATTGCCTTTGGAAAAGGCTTGCTTCTCTTCTGGGCTTCTAGGAGCTGCTCTGGCACAGCTTGCTGCAATAGTGAACCCAGCAAACAAACCTACTAAAGTGAAATGGAGCCTCTCCTGGCCAAGGGCCTTGGAAAATTGTGGAAAAGCTGTTCTTTAATAAGGGTTTAATAAGGGATTGGTTCTTTTGGGAAAGGCTTGGGGTTTGAATTTGGCAATTGCCTTTGGAAAAGGCTTGCTTCTCTTCTGGGCTTCCAGGAGCTGCTCTGGCACAGCTTGCTGCAATAGTGAACCCAGCAAACAAACCTACCTTGACTGAGCTACAGCGTTTTTGAGAAAAAAATGCCTCTCAGCAATTACAGTTTTTTTTGCAAAAAAAAGGGCTCTCCCAATTTTGTTTTGCCACAAAAGCGAACCCTCCAAACAATACATGAGTTTCAGAATAATTTGGAAAAAATTTGCCACAATAGCGACCCTAGGTACTAATCAGGACCCAACATTAAGATATTGGCTAAATTTGGCTAAGCTATCCCATTCCGGTCTTTACGGTGCTTCACATCAAAGCTGCAGTTTTTGGCGAAATACTGCTCCTTGAGGACGTGAATGCCTTCAACGAACGGCTCAAGGAGGTGCTCTTCAACGAGCAGTCGGGTATTCTGGAAACCTGGAGTGCCTTGCTTCAGTTTTCCAGGTATGTCAAACCCTAAAAAGATATGGGAAAGTGAAGGATTTTACCATCATTTGCCACTGTGTTGGTAGGACGTCAACTTTTTTTGTGTTGGTGGGGCTACAAATATCTGGGTCTGGGCCCGATATCGCCAAGATTTTTGTTGTGTTTTGGGTTTGAATCTGTTAGAATTCTGAAAGTTCTGAGATTTTGTGAACTCATTTGGGGGGCCGGTGCCACTGGAAGCAGATGGTCGATAAACGTTCATGATCTACCAGTCCTAGGCTATGAATATTTTATTATTTCCGGTCAGAAAGGTATGATTTGCAGGATGATTTTCATTATCCATGTTGAGAGTGCACAAATGTGCACACCAGGGTACCTTGAGATGAATCAATTCATCTTTCTCCACGCCGGGCTTTTTACGGCTTGCCGACCGTAGGCGCCGAACGCTGTGCTGGTTTCTTTGATGTCATCGACCCGCTGAAGGATTTGGTCTCAGTGCAACAGCTGTCAGCACCGCAGGCGTGGCAGTGGAAGTCTTTGCTGAATTGGGAAGTGATTTTGCTGTGGTAAACACAGATTTTGCTGAAAAGAAAGGTTGATGGTTTATGAAATTGGGTACCCCTAGATGGCTGGGATGCATTTTGTCATAGGCCCCGTGCTGGTGAATGGGACGGTTGATTTTTTGGGTTACCACATTAATCCTAGTGATTGGGATTCCAAACATTGCAAGATATTGTCCCAAATAGTTTGACTCTGAAAATCAGCATTTTGGCTTGGAAAATAATCTTCCACCCCCCCTATTCGGCAGGGTCTATGTAAATTTTGGGGATGGTAATCCTATTGGAATTTTTGTCAGCATTTCCGTTTCAGCTGTCGCTATCAACAGCCTTGATCCTGCCTCAAAGGTCATCATTCAATAAGAAGTCACTACTCTAACTGCCCATGTATCACCTCTAGGCTGCCGGTTAAATGTTTTACCATGTTTTACCGGTGATCGTTTGACCGTTTGACCCTTCAAATCATGGGGAATCCAAAAACTCCCGTTCTCGTTTGTGTATAGCCCTCCAGTAAACAAACTTATGGAAAGGGACAAAATTTACCACTTATATCATCTGGTATCCATTTACAATATGTTACAATATATGACAATATATGATGATCAAAGGAAGTTTAGGGGGAGAAACTTCCGTGTTACGGACTTTTAGAATGTCAGGGAAAGAGTTAGTCAAAGAAAGAGTTAGCAAAGAAAGAGTTAGTGAGGGAAAGAGTCAGTCAGAGAAAGAGTTAGTCAAAGAAAGAGTTAGTGAGGGAAAGAGTTAGTCAGGGAAAGAGTTAGTCAAAGAAAGAGTTAGTGAGGGAAAGAGTTAGTCACAGAAAGAGTTAGCAAAAAAGAGTTAGCAAAGAAAGAGTTCGTCAGGGAAAGAGTTAGTCAAAGAAAGAGTTAGTCAAAGAAACAGTTAGTCAGGGAAAGAGTTAGTCAAAGAAAGAGTTAGTGAGGGAAAGCGTTAGTCAAAGAAAGAGTTAGTGAGGGAAAGAGTTAGTCAAAGAAAGAGTTAGTCAAAGAAAGAGTTAGCAAAGAAACAGTTAGTCAGGGAAAGAGTTAGTCAAAAAAAGAGTTAGTGAGGGAAAGAGTTAGTCAAAGAAAGAGTTAGTGAGGGAAAGAGTTAGCAAAGAAACAGTTAGTCAGGGGAAGAGTTAGTCAAAGAAAGAGTTAGTCAAACAAAGAGTTAGTCAAAGAAACAGTTAGTCAGGGAAAGAGTTAGTCAAAGAAAGAGTTAGTGAGGGAAAGAGTTAGTCAAAGAAAGAGGTAGTGAGGGAAAGAGTTAGTCACAGAAAGAGTTAGCAAAGAAAGAGTTCGTCAGGGAAAGAGTTAGTCAAAGAAAGAGTTAGTCAAAGAAACAGTTCGTCAGGGAACGAGTTAGTCAAAGAAAGAGTTAGTCAGGGAAAGAGTTAGTCAAAGAAAGAGTCAGTGAGGGAAAGAGTTAGTCAAAGAAAGAGTTAGTGAGGGAAAGAGTCAGTCAAAGAAAGAGTTAGTGAGGGAAAGAGTTAGTCAAAGAAAGAGTTAGTCAGGATATATGAGTTAGTGAAAGAAAGAGTTAGCAAAGAAACAGTTAGTCAGGGAAAGAGTTAGTCAAAGAAAGAGTTAGTGAGGGAAAGAGTTAGTCACAGAAAGATTTAGCAAAGAAATTGTTCCCTCACTGTAAATGGGATTGCAAGTGGTGCTGGTGGAGGAGTTGCCGATGGAGTTTTGAAGGAAGTCTCGCACGAAATGCGTTTTTGAGAGATAGCAGATGCACGAAACCCTGTGTTTTTCCAGACAAAGTGCGTCCCCGAACGTCGATGATCTACCTCTGCGGCGCGACGGGTGCGAGACGGTCTCGTGTGTGGTCGGATCATGCTCGGATCGGTCTCGGATCATTCTCGGATCGGTTCCGCATTGTAAATGGGGTTTCAAGTGTTTTTCGTGCATTTGCGGTCGACAGAATTCCATTGTGATTTGCAACTGTAGGATCGTTCCCGCAATGTAAATGGGATTGCCAGTGGTGCTGGTGGATGAGTTGCCGATGGAATTCCATTGTGATTTGCAACTCTAGGATCGTTCCCTCACTGTAAATGGGATTGCAAGTGGTGCTGGTGGAGGAGTTGCCGATGGAGTTTTCGAGGAAGTCTCGCACGAAATGCGTTTTTGAATGTTTTTGAGAGATAGCAGATGCACGAAAGCCTATGTTTTTCCATACAAAGTGCGTCCCCGAACGTCGATGATCTACCTCTGCGGTGCGACGGGTGCGAGACGGTCTCGTGTGTGGTCGGATCATTCTCGGATCATTCTCGGATCGGTCTCGGATCGGTTCCGCATTGTAAATGGGGTTTCAACTGTGTTTCGTCCATGTGCGGTCGACAGAATTTCATTGTGATTTGCAACTGTAGGATCGTTCCCGCAATGTAAATGAGATCGCAAATGGTGCTGGTGGATGAGTTGCCGATGGAGTTTTGAAGGAAGTCTCGCACGAAATGCGTTTTTGAGAGATAGCAGATGCACGAAACCCTATGTTTTTCCAGACAAAGTGCGTCCCCGAACGTCGATGATCTACCTTTGCGGTGCGACGGGCGGATCGGTTCCGCATTGTAAATGGGGTTTCAACTGTGTTTGCGCGTAGTTCTATTGTGTTTTGCAACTCAGTCTCTGCAGAGCGCCTTGTAATGGCTGCGTCAAGGTTGCTTCGTGCTGTGGCTGCATGCGTAATACCATTGTCTTTTGCAGCTGGATCTCGTAAATCGTATTGGAGTGGCTGCATGAAGGCTGCGACAGTGATTTGTCAGCAGATTTTCTCCATTTTGGCGCTAGTGATTTTCCTTCTAAAATCCTTTTAAAAAGTGCTTCAAAATCGTCTTTTTTTCGCTCTGGCGTCGAGATCCGGTTTTGGAGCTACAATTTCCGATGCCATTGCGCGTAGTTCTCTTGTGTTTTGCAACTCAGTCTCTGCAGATCGCATTGTAATGGCTGCGTCAAGGTTGCTTCGTGCTGTGGCAGCATGCGTAATACCATTGTCTTTTGCAGCTGGATCTCGTCAATCGTCTTGGAGTGGCTGCATGAAGGCTACGAAATGGATTTGTTAGCAGATTTGCTCCATTTTGGCGCAAGTGATTTTCCTTCTAAAAATCCTTTTAAAAAGTGCTTCAAAATCGTCTTTTTTTCGTTCTGGCGTCGAGATCCCCGGTTTTGGAGCTACAATTTCCGACGCCGTTGCGCGTAGTTCTATTGTGTTTTGCAGCTCAGTCTCTGCAAATCGCATTGTAATGGCTGCGTCAAGGTTGCTTCGTGCTGTGGCTGCATGCGTAATACCATTGTCTTTTGCAGCTGGATCTCATCAATCGTCTTGGAGTGGCTGCATGAAGGTTACGAAATGGATTTGTTAGCAGATTTGCTCCATTTTGGCGCTAGTGATTTTCCTTCTAAAAATCCTTTTAAAAAGTGCTTCAAAATCGTCTTTTTTTCGCTCTGGCGTCGAGATCCGGTTTTGGAGCTACAATTTCCGACACCGTTGTGCATAGTTCTATTGTGTTTTGCAACTCAGTCTCCGCAGATCGCATTGTAATGGCTGCGTCAAGGTTGCTTCGTGCTGTGGCTGCATTGGTAATACTATTGTCTTTTGCAGCTGGACTTCGTAAATCGTATTGGAGTGGCTGCATGAAGGCTGCGACAGTGATTTGTTAGCAGATTTGCTCCATTTTGGCGCTAGTGACCGCTAGTGACCTAGTGATTTTCCTTCTAAAAATCCTTTTAAAAAGTGCTTCAAAGTCGTCTTTTTTTCGCTCTGGCGTCGAGATCCGGTTTTGGAGCTACAATTTCCGTGTGGACTGTGGACCAAACGCTTCGAAGTGAGAAGTGTGGACTGTGAAGTGTGAAGTGTGGACTGTGAAGTGTGAAGTGTGGACTGTGAAGTGTGAAGTGTGCAGTGTGAAGTGTGAAGTGTGAGGTTTGGAGTGTGAAGGAAGCAGCGAGAAGTGTGGAGTGTGAAGTGTGGAGTGTGAAGTTTGAAGTTTGGAGTGCGAAGAGTGCAGTGTGCAGTGTGAGGTGTGGAGTGTCGAGGGAAGGACACGGTCGGGACAGGGTGTCTTTGAACTATAGGTCATTTATGTTTGGGAAACTTCCGCCGCCGGCTTGCCCGGGTCTATGTTATATGATATACACAGTGTTTTCCCATTTTTGTTTATAAACCTGGAGGATTCTGTTCATTGCGTAAGCGTTACGACCTTTTGAACGACGCGTTACGTTTCGACCGTTTCGACGTGTACAGCGGCAGGTCATCATGTTGGGGCAGGATCCGTGGATCCGGGGGCTGCTGGGGGAATCCCATATTTTTTGGTCCCACTTTTCCAGGGTGAAAACGGTGACTGGTTGATACAACGGTTGGTGGTGACTGGAACATTGGTGAAATGTATGGGGTAATGGTGGTGAATGATGGTTAATAATGATTAACAATCACTGGTTGGTGGTTTGGAACATGAATTTTATGAATTCCCATATATTGGGAATGTCATCATCCCAATTGACTCAAACATATTTTTCAGAGGGCTTGTTTTACCACCAACCAGATGAGATTTTCTGATCATTTATGAGAATTTACCCTGATTGTTTGGAGTTGATAATTTGATTTACCCTGATTGTTTGGAGTTTTGATGATATGTTTTTATGTAAATCGATATACCGTGGTAAAGCCAATAACCCAGACCATCTCCAAGATCACCGGTATAAACCCTCCGAAATTGGATGATATGCATCCAGCTTGGGAAGCGGCTAGCCACAACGGCTAGCTAGCCGAGAAAAGTGAGGCTTTAGTGAAAACTGGTGACTGGCTATTCATATAGCCAGATGGGAACCTACAATGAACCTGATAGGACCTGCTGCTTCAACCGCCATCATATTGGGACACTTTTGTGAGACACTCCTGTTTTTTTTTGAAAACCTCTAAAAAGGATATGCTAACATAATACATAATATGTATGTGTATATATATATACATATACACATAATCACATATATATATATATTACACTGAATGAGTGGTAAACGGAATCTTTTCGAGTTTTTTGGGTGTTGCGAAATATGTACAGACTCGTGGTATGACCATATGGCGCTTCGTTCCAGGAAAGCACCGGGAAATCCACACTGTTGGAACGGCTCACGGGACTTCCCATCTTCCCACGGAACGCTGATCTCTGTGTCTTGGATCTTCCTTACAGATTTTCTTTGACAATCCGTTGAGATGTTGAAGAAGAAGGCTCCGTGATGTTTCAGAACAAACTTTTTACATCATTCATCCTCAAAGCCTGCAGCATTTGGGGGAGGATCTGACCTGAATTTTGTTTTCTCATTGCCGCTCATAGCCTAGAAGCTGGACCCCCCATTTTCCATCAGGCAATTATCGGGATAAATGCAAAAACAGCTGGGCTGTTCCACCTCCACTTTAGTTGTCCATCTTTCATCATTGTTCATCAACCGGATCAACCAACTTGAGGCCCCCCACTACGTATTCTACTTCCTGTACTTAAACTGGTTCCATGATCATTTGTGTGGAACTTCTAGCCCGGATTTGTGATTTCAGCACATCATATCACATCATCATTTTTGGTCAGTTGATCCTCCTTTTGTAAGGCACAACCGAGCGCAAGCCTCATAGTTTTGGTTAAGATCGCAGCGATGGCCCTCAGGCACCCGGTCCCTGATCAAAGTCCGACTGCGCCGTGGTGACATGCGGAAGTTGAAGCTCCTGGTGCAGGACATGCAGTCGCAACAGGATGAGCCCAGCGCGCCTTGAAGACTGGCCTGGACGTCTGAGAATGGGGGTACCCGGGTAGATATGGTGAATTTGCGGAGAAAGATCACTGACAAGATGGGATAGGGATGGATAGGGTACTATCCCCATTTTGAATTACTGTAGTGACTGTATTAATATAGTGAAATATAGTAAGTATAGCCCCAAGTTTTTGCCTTTTCACTTAGTTTGGGGGCCCTATCCCAGTCAATTCAAAGACAGGACCCTTCCAGCTCTGGTTGTTGTTTCTTTGCCGTCCCCCGTATTGGGACAGGAAGACATCCAAAGCATCGCCCAGTTGTCATTTGTTGTTCTTTTGCACACTCACATGGGGATGAAGCATCACATTTTTGGGATTATAGTAGGGAGATCATATAGTGGGGCAATGGTGAGGTAATGGAGATTTAAGCACCGCAACAACATGTGGGTGTCTGAGTCTCCTAAAATTGGGCTACTCCTCTTCACCATTGGTTTCGCAATGAACATGAACAAATTTGCAGGATCTGGGGTTTCCCTACTTCAGGAATCCCCTACAATATCTTAGAATTGGCTCGAGATGTTAGATATTGCAGGAAAAACCTACCGCATAGGTTTTCTGAAAAAACCATTTCGGTGATCCACTGATTTCTGACCCACAGATGATCTAGTTCTAACTCCAGTTCTCTTCAGGATTTCCCACTTGGCTCTGGGTCCTTGGCGATCTTTCGGGCCTTTTGGTTGCCTTTCGTTCATCCCCCCAGCTTTCCAAGTCCCTAAACCCATTGATGGTTAGCTAAGTTAGCTGCGTGGATGATCAATCATTGATCAATCCCTTCCCCCCAAGTATCCCCAAGTATTGAAGACCCCGAGTCGTACCGAAACCTTGCGCAAGATGTGGGGTTCTATTCATCTTGGGCCTCTCTAAATTGCGGGCTTATGTTTTTGGGGGGATTGTATGTTGTCCAATTTCTTTTTTTGTATACATTGTATACGCTTGAACCCCGTTTATTCGGTATATTATATCCCCGTTTATATCCATTGATAGATACCCCCTACATATGTTTCCCGCTTGATAATCATAAGTTCGAGATCCCTAATGCGGGACATCAGATCTGTACAATGGAGACTTAGTTGGTAATATATAAATTATATATTATATATATATATTATGATATTGTATAGTTATTTACCGGAAGACCTACATGTCAGTGTCATCCCTTTATTATAGTTAACTACATTAAATCCGATTGTACAGTAGTCATGATAAATGATATCTATACTATGTATTTATAATATCTTATTTTATAATTAGCATTGTTCCCCAAACGGTGTGTCCACGCTGAGGGGTTCTTACGGTAAGTGTAAAGGCCGGTGCTTGATCAGGGTGCTCACGCTGGTCTGCGGCATTTGACCTGTAAATTTCCGCATAAAGTGGCTCCTGTGAAATCTTGACATGCGTTTCGACTGCCTAGACTCGCACAACGACTGCGCCGTGCTTTTGGACCCAATCTGGGCCGCGGCATTTTTCCTGTAAATTTCGGTATAAAGTGGCTCTTCTGATGTCTATTGTGAAACGTGGCTCTAATGTGACTCTTGTGAAATGTCCAATTTCGACTGTGCAGGCTCGCACAAAGTGTGTGTCCGTGTTCTGGGCCCAATCTGGGCCGCAGCATTTTTCCTGTAAAATATCCGGTAAAATTTTGTATTAAGTGGCTCTTCTGATGTCTATTGTGAAACGTGGCTCTAATGTGACTCTTGTGAAATGTCCAATTTGGACTGTGCAGGCTCGCACAATCCTGTAAATTTTCGTATAAAGTGGCTCTTCTGATGTCTATTGTGAAGCGTGGCTCTAATGTGACCCCTGTGAAATGTCCAATTTCGACTGTGCAGGCTCGCGCAAAGTGTGTGTCCGTGTTCTGGGCCCAATCTGGGCGTCGGCATTTTTCCTGTAACATTTCCTGTAAAAAGTGTCTCTTCTGATGTCTATTGTGAAACGTGGCTCTAATGTGGCTCTTGTGAAATGTCCAATTTCGACTGCGCAGGCTCGCGCAAAGTGTGTGTCCGTGTTCTGGGCCCAATCTGGGCCGCGGCATTTTTCCTGTAAATTTTCGTCTAAAGTGGCTCTTCTGATGTCTATTGTGAAACGTGGCTCGAATGTGGCTCTTGTGAAATGTCCAATTTCGACTGTGCAAGCTCGCACAAAGTGTGTGGCCGTGTTCTGGGCCCAACCTGGGCTTCGGCATTTTTCCCGAACAAAATCCTGTAAATTTTCCTGTAAATTTCGGTATAAAGTGGCTCTTCTGATGTCTATTGTGAAGCGTGGCTCTAATGTGGCTCTTGTGAAATGTCCAATTTCGACTGTGCAGGCTCGCACAAAGTGTGTGTCCGTGTTCTGGGCCCAATCTGGGCCGCGGCATTCTTCCTGTAAATTTTCGTCTAAAGTGGCTCTTCTGATGTCTATTGTGAAACGTGGCCCTAATGTGGCTCTTGTGAAATGTCCAATTTCGACTGTGCAGGCTCGCACAAAGTGTGTGTCCGTGTTCTGGGCCCAATCTGGGCCGCGGCATTTTTCCTGTAAATTTTCGTAAAAAGTGGCTCTTCTGATGTCTATTGTGAAACGTGGCTCTAATGTGACTCTTGTGAAATGTCCAATTTCGACTGTGCAGGCTCGCACAAAGTGTGTGTCCGGTGTCCAATCTGGGCCGCGGCATTTTTCCTGTAAAAAATCCTGTAAATTTTTGTATTAAGTGGCGCTTCTGATGTCTATTGTGAAATGTGGCTCTAATGTGACTCTTGTGAAATGTCCAATTTCGACTGTGCAGGCTCGCACAAAGTGTGTGTCCGTGTTCTGGGCCCAATCTGGGCCGCGGCATTTTTCCTTTAAATTTCCGTATAAAGTGGCTCTTCCGATGTTGTGGACATTTCGACTGCGCAGGCTCGCACAAACTGTGGTCCAGGAGGTCTTGCCAAGACACCTCTTCTAGAGATCTGTACAGAGATCTTGCCATGAGGTCTCTTACAGAGATCTTGCCAACAGAGCTCTGGTAGAGAGATCTTGTACAGAGATCTCTTATGGAAATCTTGCCAGGAGATCCCTTATAGAGATCTTGTCTAATCTTGCCAAGATACAGAGATCTCATAAAGACATTTTGCCAAGAGATCTCTTATAGAGATCTTGTACAGAGATCTTGCCAAGACACCTCTTACAGAGATCTGTGCAGAGATCTTGCCAAGTGGTCTCTTACATAAATCTCGCCCAGAGATATTTTTTTAAAGAGAGCTTGTACAGAGATCTTACAAAGAGATCTTGCCAAGAGATCTCTTATAGAGATCTTGTCCAGAGGTCCTGCCAAGACACCACTTACAGAGATCTGTGCAGAGATCTTGCCTTGAGGTCTCTTACAGAGATCTCGCCAACAAAGCTCTTATAGAGATCTTGCACAGAGATCTCAAAAAGAGATCGTGCCAAGAGATCTCTTATAGAGATCTTGTCCAGGAGGTCTTGCCAAGACACCTCTTGCAGAGATCTGTACAGAGATCTTGCCATGAGGTCTCTTACACAGATCTTGCACACAGAGCTCTGGTAGAGAGATCTTGTACAGAGATCTTGCCAGGAAACCTCTTATAATGGAAAGATCTTGCACAGAGACCTGGTGAAAGAGCAGAGGCCTTGCTTGGAGGTCATTTCTAGATAGATTGAACAGAGATCTTACTCTTTGAGATCCCTTACAAAGATCTTCTGTGGAGATCTCCTAAAGACACCTTGTACTGCACAGCAGCTTCTACAGAGAACCTGTCAAGGAGATCTTGCGCACGATCTTCTACAGAGATCTTGACAAAGGGAACTTGCAGAATCTTACCTGGTATCTCTTCTTTTCACTACTAGGGTCGCTCTTGTCCTGCTAGCTTGCAGCCACTGATGCTTTTAGGTCCTTTCCGCCTTTCCTCCACCTCTTCATCCTCAACTTCATCTTCCGCATAATCATTCTCATCCTCATCCTCCTCAACATCATCATCCTCCACCACCTCTTCCGTAACATCATCCTCCTCCACCTCATCTTCCGCAACATCCTCCTGCTCCACCCCATCTTCCGCAGCATTATCATCCTCAACATCATCCTCCGCAACATTTTCCTCCTCATCTTCATCCTCGTCCTCATCCTCATCCTCATCATCATCATCATCATCATCATCAGCAGCACCACCACCATCACCACCACCATCACCACCACCACCACCACCATCATCATCATCATCATCATCCACATCATCATACATTATTATCCTCCCACTCCCCCACACTGTTTGGGGCCTCTTGGCGGGATATTTTTTTTATTTAGTTAGTATATCAGTATATAAGTATATCCAGCATCCAGTCTGGGTTTGTTTCAACATGGGGAAAGTCACTAAAGTCTCGAGGCCTTTGGAGGCGACGGACTGGAGCTAGAGGAGCTTGGTGATGCGGTGATGAAAGAGATGACAAGACAGGTGGGAAGTGACCGAAGTGACCGGTTCCGGTTTTGCCAAGGGATGGAAATCCCCAAAAACATGGGATAGAAATGGGAACATCTCCAAAACATGGGCAAATTCTCGAACAAATATGGGTTGAAGTATGTTGAATTGTTCTGGGAGAGGATTTTCTGACTCGAAAGGTACTCATTTTGAGATGTGTCGGAAGAGAAATTCGAACTAATTTCTGGATATAACCTCAGTGAGGTGCCAGATAACCCCACCTTGAATCCATTTATCCAACCATATTCAATTCGAGACCCGTTCAATGGACACAATTTTTGCTAAAATCCCCATTGTTATCATTGCTCATGTTTAAATCCCCATGTTTCATAGTTAAATCATGTTAAATCCAATTCTTCACACTGGAAACAAATGTTTTTGCACATCCCCATCGCAGCCCACAGATCTCCTCCTGCAGCCCGCAGCCTACGCTTCACCGTACCGGTCCGAGGTGCGGCTCGAAGCCTTAAGGCAAGAGCAGAACGGAAAGAGCGAAGTGCCTTGATTTTTGATGGAGATTTAGTGGTGATTTTTCCATCGGGATATCATGGAGATATGATGGGACAATCCCAGCACATCATATCATTGGGATTCATTGGGACATGTTGTAATGCAAATATCATCGGGATAAAATGGAAGTATAGTGGAAATATATTTAGAAATGGGGATGTGAATGGGACATATTTCTGTAACCAACAGGATGGTACTTGCATTCGGGGGTGTCTGAAAATTGTGTGTGCCATAGTATATCTACAGAAGATCATTTAGAAGATGATGATATTATAAAACCATTGGATTTGAGGTCGCCTATTTTCTGACAATCATTCACGATGCATTACAGGCACAATTTGGATGTTCTGTTGGGATCTGAAATTACCTGGATCGGGGTGATCCATAGCAGCCGGCATCATGATCCCCGAACGCAGTGCGTGACTTAGGAATTCTATGCGAAAAACGTCCGCACTGAACCATTGGCCCCTTGGCGATGGGAAACCCAGGTATCGAGCCAATCTCTATTGGAAGTGGGGCCACGGGATAGCCCAATCGAATTGGTTCCAAATATTAAGGACAGTTTATTGCGATTCCCAAAAGGGCTGGTAAAACATATTCTGAAGGTGGCATATCCCACTATATTCCATCTCCAGCATATCCCCATTGTGGTTCGTTTCATCCCCTAGTTTCTATCGCTTACCCTAACATGACTACGAACAATGGCCCGTTTGGTTCGGTCATTCCTATCCAACATGGTTTGAAACCAAAACGCGGCAGATCATACAACTCTCGAGGATCAATCGACAGAACATCCGATGGCCCATCCGCATCAGCAGAGGGTCCCGCCTAGAAATGGGACTAAGCAAGCGAGGAACCCTCCGATGGCCTCTGCACCAAGAAACTACTCGTGGTAGAGCTGAACTCTCCAAAGGCCCGTGAAAGGACAGAAAACCAATGAACAATGGTGCAATGAATCTAGTGGTGTAATGAGGATACAAATGGCAGGGAACCACTCGATCTGGACAAATGATGCGAACTATCCTGGTTGGTGAATTATTATGAGCTTTTGTAGTTCATCCATCCAGATGCAAATTGACTATCCTGTGGTTGGGAGAGAGCTAAAGAGCTACTGGTATCCACATTCCCTGGAAATTGATTACCAATAAAAACACACATATACTGTCAACTATTACATACTATTACCATTTTTTGCCATTATCAATTATCAATGATTACCAAGTAATCGCAATTATTGGCCCGTCACCCTCTGGCAATTTGACATAGCGATGGAAAATCTTCATTTTAAGTTGGGTAAATCATCGAACAGAATGGGTAATGTTCTATAGCAAACTGTTAAACCACCCCTACAGTACTATATAGCAACTCTAGATTAGCAATTCCTAGCCATCAAATAAGCTCACTAGTATCATTGTTTGTTGGTAATCCACTATTATTTCCCAAGAAAGACATAGCATTTTTTTGGGGCCATAATTATCTTAACCCTTTGTTTATACTGTTGACGGTCATTTCCGATATCTTTTTATGGGAAAACCCCTAGAATTCCCATGAAAATGGGGACTTAACAATAATAGGTTGATCATTTTTTGAACGATTTCACCATTTATAGCTCATGATACACCATTTCACCATAACTATCTTTCACCATGGGATTAATTAATAAAGCAGAGTAGATGGTTAGTTGTAGTATAATATATAAAAAAAATATATGTAGATACAGTATATATATATATATACGTATATATATATATATACGTATATATATATATATACATATTGTATAAACCAACCTATTCCCATGAATATCTCATAGTAATAGTTGATCATTCAAATGCTATTGACTTTTGGTTCTTCAGACACTGCTAGTAGTTTGGTATTAGTTGAGTATTCAAATCAAATACTAGTTGGTTAAATCCCAAATAATGACTTAACAACAATAGGTTCACAACATTCGAGACCTATTTGAACTGTTTCACCATTAATTATCTTGGAATATCCCATGACATGTTCATTTTTTTCAACATTTTCCGTTGTTTTTTTCCATATTTCCCCTGATTTTTTCGTAATTTTTCACTGGTGAAACTCGGGGCACCAGGCGCCCAACTTGGACGTGGTGGACTGCCCGGGCCTGGTGGCCGCTGCGGCCAAGGGCCGCCCCGAGAACGTGGCGGCGCAGACGGCGCAGCTGGTGAGGCGATTTGTCGTCGACGGATGGTGCCCAGGGGGTCCCAGGAATTTCCCGGTTTTGGTGGTGAAACTGGTGCGAAATCCGCAGTTGATCTGGAAATATCTGGAAGATCTATGAGTTTTTGAGGTGTTATAATGGTTACTTGGATGTGTTTCCCAGGTATCCTCAGGTATAACCACAGGAAACAGACCAGTTATATGTGGAATGTTTCACGTTTTGGGATTCCTTGATCCGTTGCGCCTAGCAGGTGAAGTTTCCAGCTAGATTCACGAGTGAATCTCCCTTTTGGTTGCGAAAGAACCCCTAGGTTTGGTGGTTTTCTGCTTCCACTGCCGATAAGATCCCTAATTTTTGTTGCTTAGTGTGGTTTTGAAAACGACTTTATATAATCCACATTTTTGCTTAACTGGTAAAAGCCACCATCGCCAGCATCGACGTTCGATTCCCAGGAGCTACGCCAAGAAACATCGCTCCTCCGCCCTCTTTGTGGTGGCCGTGAAGGTGGAACCTGGCAGACCTCATGACTACAGTAGGGTAGGGGTTCAGCATGGGTTAGTAAATGAAATTCCCAGTATGCACCTTAAGCATAAATAGCTGATAACCCAATAGTTCCGCAACCCGCAGGTCAAGGGGACAACTGTGATTGCATGTTGCCGTGTGGGTCAAGGGGCCCTTTGAGCCTATGCAGGCTAAGGTCTTCGTGCGTTGTGAGATGGAAAACTGGTGAAGCGTTTGCCGCTTGTTCGTTTGTGGGATTCAGTTGGTAACTGCATCCATTTGCACTCCCGCCTCCACATGGTAGCGGAGCCGTGTCTCCGATAAGGGGCCGGCTACCGTGACAGGCGATTGCAATCATTGCCTCTAACTGGGAACATTGTTTCCTTTCTGGTGAGGACACAAGTCCTAAGGTGAGACCATATTGGTCTGATTGGTGGAGATGGCACTTGATCAGAGAGATGCCTTCAAGGATCTGCAATTCGATGGAAGACCATCAGGCTACAGGAGGACAAACATGCCCACCTAGCTGGACCACGTTTACTGAGTAAGCTTTCTGGAGAAGCATGGAGAGCGACAGAGCACCTGAATATCAGCGAGCTGAGAAAAGCCGATGGTTGGTTATCGGTAATCAAAGCCTTGGATACACATTACCGATTCCTTCCAGAGACTGAATTGCACGAGGCCATTGAAGAATTTTTGTTTCTGCTCAAGCGCAGGCCCCATGAGGGTGCCACATCTTTTTCCTCACGTTTCAAAATCCACTTGAACCGTGTACAAAGTTTGATAGCTCAGGAACATGACAGTACCCGAAAGAAACGTCGGAAACGTGCCGGGAAGTCTTCTAGACCCCCCATCTGATGTTAGCAGCCTGGAAGAGACTGATCCAAATGAGGAGCAACAGCCGTCCAAGCCGTCTTCTCACAAGACTGCATCAGCTGCCGGTGGTGAGCAACCGGAATTTGATCCGTTTGGTGACACCCCTGGAAGTGGTCAGGAAGAGGCACCTCTGTCAGTTCCTGAGAAACCGGATGCCCGCAGTTGCAGCTCGCAGTCAATTTCAGTGGACAGAGGCGATTGATGATAGACTACGCAATAGCCCGTGAGACCATGACCAACCAAAACGTAATGAATTTCTGGGTGAATAACTTGTGTACGGCCGCTGATATCCTCACCGAACTGAAAGGAGACTCGCGACCACTGTTTGAGATTCTGGAAGATGGAACATTCCAGATAATAGTCTGCACTGAGTCCGGACGGAAGGAGACAGCCAAAAAAGAGCCAGCTGACCGTTAAGCCACCATGATGTGGTCCAAGCCACTTGCATGCCAATCGTTAGGTATAAAGATGCTTGATGATAAGTTTTTCCCATAGTCCATGGTGCATTTGATCACTCACAAATGTGATAATCAGGCACCATAATCCAATCATTAATAGATGTACAGTTTAGTTCTGAAGCCAATCAACAGTCCAGCCGCACTGAGTTATCGTCCTGCCTGGAACATAAGTCTCGCAAAACAGTGAAGCCGTTCGCATCAACGCAGGAAGTGACCTTTTTCCAACTTAGTGATCCCCGGCTGACCATGAGCTCCAGCAAGATGTCGCGCACCGATGCTCCTGAGACCTTCAGTGATGTGGCGCTGACGTCGCCTGAGATTTCCCATGCCTCGGGATTGCTGCTGCGAGCCTCCAAGCATGGCCGGCTCTACTTGATCGAGGAGACCCTCAAGAATGCCCCGCATGTCAAGCAGTTCCTGGTGTCCACAAGGAACACACTTGCCGCTGCCGCCACTGGTGCCGGAAAGGGATACTGTGCATTCCGGACTGACTGATGCCAGCAAGCGCCGTTTCCCTGATGATGACAACCAGTCTTGGGAGAACGTGTAATGCAGTGCAGCTTCGGTGGACCAGGCGATCTTTGTTGCCAACATGCCAGAGCATGTGCCGGTGCCACCAGCCAGCAAGGATGGATCGATCCAGTGCTCCGTGTGATGATGGAGGCCATGGAAGACAAGAAGATTCCATTGCCTGATGGTGTGATCGATCTGATGACATGGGGACGCATGATCTGCGAGACCGACAAGTACAAGGATGCTGAGCTGAGCTACTTTGAGCTCGTTGCCATGGCCAAGACCGATGCCGATGTCCATAGCTACCTGAACTTCCTGTTGAAGCGATATGGATTGAAGCCTGGCCAAGCCAAGCATGAGAAGCACACAGCCGGCCGAGACCTTGCACAGTTCTTGCAGCGCTATGGATGGTGCGGAGACAACTCCGACTGCACTTCCCAGCGACGTTTCAAGTAGAAGGGTTGAGCCTAAGAAGCCTGCTACAGGCACCAATGCCATATAACCTTGAGCACCCGGCAAGAGGGCGTGAAATTCCCAGTATGCACCTTAACCATAAATAGCTGATAACCCAATAGCTCTGCAACCAGCAGGTCAAGGGGATTTGTGGGATTCAGTTGGTAACTACATCCATTTGCACTCCCGCTTCCACAGTAAACCACCCGGTTACGCGTGGGATTTCAAGATTCATAGGAATACATTATATATATAGGAATATATAGGAATATAAAGGGATTGTCATGGCTGGGTTGCACGATGGATGATTCTTACGCATTTTGGTAATAGTATTATATCCAGCTGGGACTTGTTTTTTTTGCAGGGTATCTGAGATAAATCCCTTGGCGGATCTAGTTATTTTGGGATTCCCAAAAAGTTAGAACTCATGGAAACTCAATAATTGGTATTTGTATTGGGACAACGAATGACAATGATATATCAGTTCCCTTCTGGAAATGGCAAATTTGGGATTGTAGAGGAAGTACCCCAAAATGATCCAATATAGGTTTCTTTGAAGTCTGGTAGTTATTGTAATTTACCCAGACTTTTTCATCGGTGGGACCTTCCCACACATGGGAGATTCAACCCACCTCAATCAGGAACAGAATCTTAGAAAAACTATTGCACCCTCTGGAAATCTAGCATGGCTATGGAAAACCCGGCATTTTTAGTAGGTAACGTGTCTACATCGCCATGGCTTCGCTATGTTGGATGAAACCAGCGGACCGCTGCGTGTTTGACCAAACATTTAAACATCGGTGTTTTGAACATATCACATTTGTTTGCCTTCATGGACTCTTCTAAGTTTATTAAAAATTGAAACCAACTCAATTTGTCCATGTTCGTCCAAGCAAATCGCTGAAATGTAAGATTTCCGCAGGGTGGTCAACTTGATATGGTCTGCGGTTCCGAACTACTGTTGTACATCGCAGAACATGGATGAAAATGGGATCAGTAATCCCCGGCCATATTTCTATCCAACTCTTGACGACAATCATCAGAGCATCACAGCATCACCAAAAGTTTGAAACCATTGTTGGTGCCCCCGAGTTATAAGTTGCTTTATCACCGCATGTCGTTCGATATATATATAATATATATATATACTATAAAGATCCATAAACCTTTGTTTACCCCGGTGTTTCCAAAGAATTTTAGCACTTAAATTACAGATTTATATGGACATTTTAATATCAAACTGTAGATATTACATGATATTACTGTAGATTATATTATATATATTTTTTTTTGTAAATTTACCCCAGTGTTAATATAAGTTTTATCAAAAACTTCCTCCAATCATTTCACAAGCTTCTCCGCATGTCCAGGCCTCGGAGCAGCCCAACAACTCCCTAGCTATGCGGCTGGTCCAGGAGGTGGAAGTCGCTTAGGTTTTTGAATGGGGATACACCCAGGACCCAAGAACTCCTAAGTGGTTTACTGTGGTTTATTATGGTTGATGATGGTTTATGGTTGTGCTTTGTGATGTTTTTTGTTTATGATCACCACTCGAAGAACGGTTTCAATCAACATCAAAAACGTGACTCCCCATTTGGACAAGTAGCAATACATACTTACAGTAGTCCAAACAGTTCCAAACATTTTTGGGCAGATCATTTTTGGTAGATGTTTGTAGCTGGTAATTGATCCCAACATATATATATAAGACACACACACACACATATATATATATATATACACATAATCTTTGTAGATGTTTGCCCCAAAATGACCAACCTGTTGGATCCTGGCAGGTGGGACTGGAAAGCTGCGCCCTGGGCGTCCTGACCATGACCGACGTGTTGACTGGAGCTGCTGAGCTGCAAAGCTGTCCCCATGAATGGAGGTTTCAATACGAAAAGGACCGAAGAACATGGAGGAAAATTGGGAATATCATGGAATAGAACCATGATGGGATGTGAATGGAATCTTAATGGGCGTATAATTGGAGAACAATGAGGAGATTGCCGTTCATCAAACGTAGCCATGGGAAATCCCCGAAGTAAATGGAGGTTTAGTTCGCTGGAAAATCATCGAGCACTTTTTTGGTTCACCTTGGGGAAGCCAAGTGGGGGTTTTTGGAAGTGATTTTTCAGATTTTTTCAGCAGCAAATTGACAGAGTTTGTGGATACCACGGGATTAAACACCAAAGAAATCATTCGGATGTGACACCAAAGATGGTTCCTCTGACAGATTCAGGGATGATCCAGTGGTGTTTTTGGCTTCAAAAAGTAGTTGCTATCCACCAGATCCATAGGCATTTGTTCATGATATCC